GGGGGGGGGGCAGTTTTTTTGCCAGTTGAAAATCGTAATTGCGACGGAACTTTTTCGGCCATTATCCAGTCGCTAGCCTCGCTGGCTGCAGTCTAGGAATTTGATGACGGTGAATGTGGCTGCATGACGCGGTGAAGCAGGTCGCGGCGGAGAAGCACTGGCGCAACTGTATAACGTGATGAAACGCAAAAAAAGGCTTCTTCCCTCGCGATAGCATCAAGTTGCAGCGAGTGCTTGCGAGGTAGATCGTCCACACCTCACGACCTCTGAGCGGCAGCTCTGATGGATCTGATCCAATGCGTAGCATCGCCACTAGCAGAATCTTCATACAGGTAGGTCCTTGCCGGCTAAGATGCGTTCAAGAGTCATCACGACTGGTCAGTCGCATCTTGATCATCGCATAGCAGCAAAGGCGGACTCACCGTGTGCACAACAAATGCACGAGAGCCCTTCGCTTCGACAGCTGTCACAAAGTTTGGCGCAGCGTCCGGAGATATGGCTGCCATTCGGGACAAAGCGCTGCTGCTGTCTCTACGTTGCACCAGCAAGCTAGATCGACTCGAAGGTGTAGTAGCTGTCATTGATCCCGAATGAGCTCCTTCAAGCGAATGAGGCTGCCTCTCGCTCGACAGACGAGAAGGGCTAGACCCGCGCGGCACAGCAAGGATCACCTCACTCTTGACAACCAGCTGATCTTCAGTCTCCTTGACGCACAGCAGTCGAGGAAAATCGGTGAGCAATAGCTGCCTGCTTCTAGAAGTCGTTCTGAAAGCTCCCGTCTTGCGTTGAATGACCGGCCCTGCAAACAGTAGCGCTTCTTGCGGCAAGAGGAGCGCTGCCCAGCTTCTTACTTGCGCTTGCAAGTCTGGCGCGTTGCGAAAAGCCTCTTGTCCGCCCGTCGTCGTTGGAAAGGCCACGTTGGAGCTGTGCGGACTCGAGTTGGCCGAGTCGAGCGAAGCCGTGGAGAAGCGATTTTGCGTTGCACGCAGACCAGAGATGGAATTGCGAGCTTGCGGTACTTTGCCTTTGGCCGAACCGGTGCTAATCACATCTGTTCCGCCCATAGCACCAGCGATGTTAGCGGCAACGCGCAGGATGTTGCTGCTGAGACGATTGGAAGACGTGTTCCTCCGACGCGAGGTTCTAGGTGCTTCGTCGTCCGATGAGTCGTCATCGTCAGCCTCTTGACCTCCCTCTCCCGGCTCGCTCGCAAGAGACCGTGCAGACTGATCGGCGCCCGCGTCCGACGAAGCAGCGGAGCGACTCGCATCTCTGTTGTGGCCCGCAGACTCCTCCTCGTCGGTCGAATCCATGGATCCCTCGGCCCAAGCATCGCTGCCAAAGCCATCCCCAGAAGCAAATTGCGGCGGTCGAGTTGCAGGTATCGGCTTTCTGAAGATGCCCGCTTGTATATCAGGGACTGGACAGGTCCAGACGGAGGACCAGTCCACGTCTCGGAAAAAAGCGTGACCTTTGATGCTTTGCACTCCATCCGGTCCGGTCCCGAGGCGCTGCGCTGGATCGAGCACAAGCAGCTTCTCTACGAGATCCTTTGCGTCATCCGGAAATTCTTCTGGAAATTCATACTCGCGCTTGATGATACGCTGAAACGTCTGATATTCGTTGGGCCCCTTGAATGGAGGTCTGCCAGCTATCATTTGGTAAAGGACGCATCCAAAGGCCCACCAGTCCGAGCTGTGCGTCGCAGCTTTCTCGGTGAGCAGCTCTGGACTGACATACTCGGCCGTACCAACAAAACTGCTTGTGCGTGGTCGCGCACCTTCTTGGGCATTTGTGACGTCTGCCCTTGGTGCTTGCGGCTTGCCAGAAGGCTGGCGTTGGATGCTGGCGGAACCAAAGTCGGCCATGCGGATGCGGTACTGCGCATCTAGCAACACGTTCTCTGGCTTGATGTCTCGGTGCACCACGCCAACTGCGTGCATCCCCGATATGACGTCGACCAGCTGAGCAGCAAAGTATGCTGCACTCAGACTATCAAGAGAGCCATGCTGCTTGATCAGGCCGAGGAGCTCGCCTTTAGGAGCAAGCTCCAGCACAAAATCTATGCAGCAGAGGACATCGAATGTGTGAAGTCAGTATGTGGACAGCCGAGTCCGATGTCTTCAACTTTGATCATACTCACAAAGACTATCTCGGTCTTGAAAGGTCCAGTAAAGCGTGATCACACCCGGATGGCGAAGTAACAAGCTGAGCGCCTCCTTCTCCACCGCCACATACTTTTGCTTCTTCTCTTTCAGAATGTGAACCTTATCGAGGACCTTGACGGCGTAGCGTTTGCGTCCTTCGTTGCGAATCGCTGCGCTGCGAATCGCATTGGAGCCTGCACCGGCTATTGCCGCGTTGGCAGAGATCGGCTTCGCGGCCTTTTCGTCAAACGAATCGCGCGCGCCTGTGCTTGGCTTGGAGAGAAGATCCCAAGCCTCGATGACCGTCGAGTAAGATCCTTCGCCCAACACTTCGCCAAACTCAAAGTCGTCACGGCCTCGCGCCGTGCGCGTCTGTTGTTGAGACGCGTGTGTTCCGGGTGACGTGCTGCTCTTGACGGGTGTGTGCAGCTGCGATGCCTGCTGACTAGACACCGCAGCATTCGTGCCCTTAGCATCGCCTTCGCTCACTGAAGGCGCGCTCGTGATCTGTGGAGTGTTTACGTTCGACAGCGAAGAAGCAGCGTGAAGTGGTGGCCGATCCCCAGCGTCAGTCGTCTTCGAGAAATCCGGAGCTGAGACGTGGGCGGTAGGATGCTCCGATATCGCACCAAGCTGCGGTAAAGCCGGCGCGGTGACGGTTGCTGGTTCCGAGGGCGCCAGGATGGGCTGCTCTGTGAGGTCTAGCGAAACGGCAGACGTGGCAGCCTCGGGTAGGGGAAAGGGTGGCGGTCGAGGAGCTGCCGCGACTTCGCGCTTGACTGTTCTGATAGGGACCAAAGGCGCTTCCTCGTCGATCGTGATTGCGCTTGATGGC